GCCTCTTTTAGTGCTATGATGCAATAAATGTGACTTTTCTGCACTGAAATTAACCATTGTTTTCCACTAATCTTTTTCACCCAAATAAATTATGGAACCAAATACAGTCTTATTCTGTGTTACATGGACACATTGAAAGCCGTCAAGGAGAAAGTTTCAAATTATTAACATAATCATTTATGCACTTTTTGCACTCGTAGTATAATTTTTTGGCTTTAAAAAATGACAAGCAATAATTTTTTTTTAAGTGTAAAGAAATTTCAGAATTTACAGCAGAGTCATTTGAGTTACTGTATATAATTCAGAAAAAAAAACTTGTAAGTTGGGGTCTATGGTGTAATTTTCAGATATTATAAAAAAAAAAAATTGTTAAATCTGAGCTAAAATTAGGATTATTTTTTCTCAACTTTCAAATAAATTTGACTCCGAAATGTAATCTAATATGTAATTAGGATCAACAAAAATTATCTCACTGTGCACAAAATAACTCAAGCCTGTAAGTCTGGAAATCTAGAACATGCGCGGATCTAGAGGAGAGGTCGGGGAGGGGGGTCCGCCCCCCCCCCCCGGAATTTGCAGAGTTAGTAATAGTATATAATGAAGCAAATAAAAAAAATGACTTTTGAACCCCTGCCCTTTAGAAAATTTGGACCCCACCATCACCACCATGAAACAGGTGTTTTTCACGTTTGGGAAATTGAATTTACGTTTTTTTTTTTGTTTTTTTTTTTTTTGTTTTTGTTTTTGTTTTGTTTTGTTTTTTTTTTGTTGGTTTTTTTTTGTTGTTGTTGTTTTTTTGTTGTTGTTGTTGTTGTTGTTGTTTTTGTTAACACAATTTCTGGGTTTAATACGTTTGGAAAGGGAATGAAAGTTTTTTTTTTTTTTTTTGCTTGTCAAGAAATGTTTGGGTTGGGATTTTTTTTTTTTGACTGTGGTGCATACCCCCACCCGGAAAAAAATTCCTGGATCCGTACCTGTAGGAATCATAAAAAAGTGAGAAGAATAATTTGCAGAGGAATGAGTTCCATTTTATCCACAAAGGATTTCCTACTTGAGGTGTAAGCCAATAAAAAAAATCCTCTAAACCCTATAGGTTTACAAATTGCTGTTATGTTAAGTGAAAGCAATTATATGAATATAAGACGATACGTCATAATTTAAGAATTTAAATGAAACTATTTTTTATTTCTATAACGTGCAATCTTAGTTAAATTTATATGCTGAAATCATATTTTTTCTTCATTTCAAAAAACTGGGTAAATGTAAGACTTCTTACATAGTCAACCCATTAAAAAATACACTATCTGTCTCTTATTTTTTATTTTTCAGAAAATAGCAATAATGTCAAAATTGGTAAATATGTGAGGCTCTTGCAGTTGGTAAATATGTATTCCTTCTTCCAAATCACCAAGAAAGAGAGGAAAATGATGATATTTATAGAAGAATTACAAGTAGCAATGAATTGCACATTGAATTGAGAAACATTGAATTTTCTGTTTATTACATTTTTTTTGATTTCTCTTTGCCTCTGTCTTTTCTTAACACAGTGTCATAGACTGTGATGTCATAATTGAGCGGTTGAGACGTCATACAGCTTAGCAGTTGTGAGATTGAAAATATTGTAACATGGATTTTAGCAACATATTTGGGAAGAAATTGACAGTTTTAGTCTCTATAAAGATGGTTTAGTTACTATCTTTATCTTGTGACAGGCCAAAATTATTTTTTACTTACTTTGATATCCTTTCACATTGTGACAGAATATCACTGGTATCCTTTCACACTATGAGAGAATATCACTTTTATTCAATAAATAAATCACAGTATTTCACTGATGGAAATGTAATAAATGTCGTACTTAAACTGTAAAAGTCATTGATTGAAAAGTATTTATAAATAAGTGTATGAATACACACTAATGTTATCTTGCCACTTAGCAAAGGAAAATCAATTGCATTTCTTGAAAACAATTGAAATCTGAACTTTAAGTCCCAATCAAAGTGTATCCGGTTTATATATGCATTGATAGATTCCTGGAAGACATGTTCCTCCAAAGCTTGTTTAATTAAAAAAAAATTACAAAGATTGTGAAAATAGGATGGGGTCATTCAAAATGCTTCTTCTAAAGAACATTAAACCAGAAATGACAAAACTTTTTAAAAAATATTATTTTTAATAGGTGGCCTATGGGACACAACACTCACCTGAGTCACTGTACCCATACTGTTCTTCATCGGTAGGTTTTTCTCTAAGTATTCCTGTATAAAACTTTGATTGCCTATTGTGGCCCCACCCTACTCCTTCGGGTCATGATTTCAACAAACTTGAATCTACACAACCTGAGGATGCCTCCTCCAAAGTTTCATCTTTTAACACCAAGTGGGGATTTCTTTTCGAGAGGAAGATTTTTAAAAGATGACATTAAATTTTCACTTTCTTAATTCCCTCCGCTTGGAAAATGTCGCAGTCCTTCATTTAAAACAAAAAGTGAATTCCCTTCAGCCAAAGATACATTGGTGCAAGTTCGGATGAAATTTGTCCAGTGGTTCTTGAGAAGTCGAAAATGTAAAAGGTTTACAAATGGATGGACAGAAGGACAGTCAGATAAATGCCTGAACAAAATTTGATCAGAAAAGCTCACTTGAGCCTTTGGCTCAGGTGAGCTAAAAATATTATAAAAACAATAAGGCAATAGCAAAGGAAATGACCAGGATCTTTTATGGCCCTCTAGTTACCCATGGGCACTTGCATTGTTTCCATAACAAAGATATACATTTCAGCATTTTTGTACACAAGTCTAATTTTTTTCAAAGTAACCCTTGATATAAATACATTTAACAATTAATACTAGAATCAGAGTATCACAGAACACAGAAATCTTTAGTGATATCCAATAATCAGCATCCTTATTCTGTTTTTCTACATCTCTAAATAAAACATTCCATATCAACTTTCGTAACTTCAATGTCTACAGTCATGATTAAAGCACCAAAAAGAGAACCACAATTTTGTTACATTCATTAGATTTTAACATATATTTATTACGTGAAAAAACAAACAAACAAACAAACACATAAATAGATTGGGTAGTAGGCATTGCCTATATAAACCTTCTGTGTGTTACGTTAAATAAATTTCTCACCTTGAAGTACTTAATACGAGATGATTTATAATGCAATGAAAATGGGTTCAGTTTATCAGAAACACTCCACCAATATTAATAAGTACTCTGTACAGTTCTCCATCATTAACGGAAACTCTTTAGAGTTCACCCCAATAGGTATGAACATATAATATATAGATATACAGTACTGTACTATTCTCCTCCGTTGATACTCTTCACAGTTCATTTGTACTAATTGAAATTTCATCCTGTTCAACATCAGCTGTAACATTTCACTATTAATCAACCCTCTGGGTCTCTTTTGTTCACCACTATTAACTGATACGCCATACAGTTTGCCACCGATATTAAACAAGAGGCCCATGGGCCACTTCGCTCACCTGAGTACTAGTAACTTTGGCCATGCTGTTCTTTACCAGATTTCCCCTTGAAATACCTATTGTGGCCCCGCCCTACCCCCCGAGGTCCTGATTTAAACATTTAGAATCTACACTACCCCAGGATGCTTCCACATAAGTTTCAGCTTTTTTGGCCCAGTGGTTCTTGAGAAGAAGATTTTTAAAGATTTTTCCTATATATTTCCATGTAAAAATTGGATTCCCTATTGTGGCCCCGCCCTACCCCCGGGGGTCATGATTTTAACAATTTAGAATCTACACTATCCCAACATGCTTCCACATAAGTTTCAGCTTTTTTGGCCCAGTGGTTCTTGAGAAGAAGATTTTTTAATGACCCCACCCTATTTTTGTCTTTTCTTGATTATCTCCCCTTGTAAAGAGACTTGGGCCTTTATTTTAACAATTTAAACTCCCCTTCATCCAAGGATACTTTGTACCAAGTTTGGTTAAAATTGGCCCAGTGGTTCTTGAGAAGAAGTTGAAAATGTGAAAAGTTTACAGACGGACGGACAACGGGTGATCAGAAAACTGAGCTTTCAGCTCAGGTGAGCTAAAAATGCTATCCTTGCAGACATTTATCTCTAAAATCTCAAGACACTATAATTAAGGTAAAGAAGAAGGCACAGTTTGGGCTTTATTGTGCCCTTAAACTTAAATGTTTTCAAAAAGTTATGAAACTGGCTTAAATGGATGTGATAAATCATGAAAGAATATTGCATGAAGGGGGACCAATCTAAAAGAATATGACATTATCAATTTGGTATATTTCTAAGTTTTAGACAGAAAAGCCTCAAAATGACCCATTTCAGGGGTTATTTCCCCTAAGAAAACAATGTCCACAGCTGTCGCCATCTTGATATGTTGTGTAAAATCCTTTGAAAAATCACATTTCTCAAAATCTTTGTGGGCGATGCATGTACTCTATATTATCTGAAAGAAAATTCCACTGAAAATTGATGTCTCCTGCAACTTTTTAAGAAAATACGGGGAAATTTAATGCACCAGTTCATGACGTCACAATTAGCATTTAGGAGATCGTATGGGAAAAACAAATATTGTATGTTTTTACTGCATGAATTTCAATGATTCAGAAAGAATGAATTTTGATTTCTTACATCACTTCCACATTTTAGAAAAATACAGGGTAGAATTGTATTGAAACTGTACATAAGACTTGTTCTTTCACGGTCCTAAAACACCCTTAATCTCCTAATGGGAAGACCTGAAGGGACTGTTTTCTTTCTATCTGTATATCCATCAGTCTGCCCCACTTCGTTTTCTGGACACATCTATTGAGCTGATTTCTGGTTTGTCAGTCTTCTTGAGAGCAGTTGCATATCCCAGTTCAAATTTGGGTTATGCCTTGATGGTTTTTGATAAATTGCAGCCCATAATCGAAGAAGAACTCAGTATTGCATATACAATGCTTGCAGAAAACTTGTTAATTCATTCAATGTGCATTTAATCAAATGAGACAAAGAAGCCAACAGTTCATTGACATCATTCTATAATGCAATTTAATATCTGTGACATTCTAAATCAAATTAATCAGTCCTCTCACAATCAGAACATAAAATATTGTAACAGATCAACAAAGTGTGATACTGTCTAAGAGATAAAATCTGTACTTATCAAAAAATTTACTCTCAAATTTTAAGTCAAACAAATTTTCCTCAGTGTTGATAATGTACATATTGAACAGACTCATCATTAAACAAGATATTTCAGATTTTCTGCTGTTTGTTGAAACTAACAACTGTTAATATAGTGTTCATATTTTCTTCCATGGCTTTTATAATTGAAACACAGATGGAGGGAAAGAGAGACCCTCTTTGAGCATGCATGACTCAAAGTACACACTTGACTTTTAGTACTCATGCTTACTGATCAAGAAACCTGTATATTGTACATCCTTCTCACACATTTCAATCTCTTTTAACATATGCAATGCTAAAATCAATCAGAATCTTTTATTTACTCAATATTGAACACTCAAGATGAGCTACTTTAGAGAGTTAGGTTTCAAACATCTGATACTTCTTCTTTCATACCAAAGTTTCTAATGATCAGCCGATTTTGTTACAGGACTGGGGATTAATCTTGTTAAAGATACATGTTGGTGATTCTAGTCCTTTGTTAAAGGTTTAGAACTTTCTAAATGTTTTAGACATATTTATCATTTTTCTTCAAAAAGGGATAAAATCTTATTTTCCTTACTTAGGAGTGGAGATACAATAGAATGTATACAGCTAACAAATAATGAAATGTTGAGTACCAGGGTTAGAAACTCCATAAAATTACAACTCGCAAATAATTGCGAGTACCAAGAAAGTGAACTCGCAATTTTATAAGACTACTCGCAATTTTCATATAAAGTTAAATTTATATAAATTAAATACATGTAACTTAAGGAAAAAGTAACTACTGTACAATACACAAAATACAGATACAGGGTGACTTTTATTAAAATTACTGATTGAAATCAAAAGCATTGTGTTCTGTCATATTATATAATTTTGCTACAGTTTCAATGCAAAAAAATCAACTGGCAAGTTTTTTCGAGTTACCTAATTTTTAACTCGCAATTTTGGAATTCTAACTCGCGTTTTGCAAGTTGTATATAGTGAATTTCGAACCCTGAGTACAGCCATATCGTGTTATCAGGTAGTAGAAATACTGAGCTTGTAACTGTAAACATTGAATAATAGATCAAATAAAGCAAAGCTGATTGTTTTTATCTATTTAAAAAGAAGTGAACAAGAAGTCTGTGAGCCAATGCCTACTAATAATACCCCCACTCTGATGTGAATACACAAGTTCAGTTATGGACAGACACAGTGATAATCAGGAAGTTGACATCGGATTTGTCCAAAAATGAATCCCACCATATGGCAGGCCTAAACAGTGAGTGTGCTAAAATTTCAAACATCTGCGATGAGTGGTTGCTGAGAAAACTTCCACCCAAATTTGTTATGTATGGTACAGAAAGATGCACGGATAAACAGGAAGTTGACATTAGATTTGTGCAAAAATGAATCCCACTATGTGGCATGCCTAAACAGTGTGCTGAAATTTTGAGCATTTGCAATGAGTAGTTGCTGAGAAAACTGCGACCAAAATTTGTTATGTACAGACGCAGAGATAAACAGGAAGTTGACATCGGATTCGTACATGAATGAATCCCACCATATGGCATGCTTAAACAAAGAGTGCTAAAATTTCAAGCATCTGTGATGAGTAGTTGCTGATATAACTGTGACCAAAATTTGTTATTTATGGTACGGACAGACACACAGATAAACAGGAAGTTGACATCGGATTCATACAAAAATGAATCCCACCATATGGCATGCCTAAACAAAGAGTGTGCTAAAATTTCAAGCATCATGAGTAGTTGCTGAGAAAACTGCGACCAAAATTTGTTATGGACAGACACACATACAGACAGGCGGACAGACAGACAGATAGACACACAAGGATAAAACAGTATACTCCCCTTTCCTTCAGTGGGGTATAAATAGTTTTGTAACCTGATATTTATCAAAGTGTTTATTCTGTCAGGTGCAACTTTTGGATACTTTTACTTTTTAATTATAAGTACATAATTGAAAAAGAAAATTATTCCATCATCAGGAAAGATTTCAATATTGTATCCAGTAACAAGAAAAATCACCGAAATCAATACAAGAAGCGACAGTTTCTCCATGGGTTGATTTGTGTACTTTTAAAATATTTGTTACATGTGCGTTTCTTCCCTGGCATCACACATACGAATTTAACACAGTGATCTATACAAGATATCACAAGGCAATGCACATAATAAATTCTCACTTTTCAAACATGGCTTAAAATCAATATGCTATGTTAACTATGATTAAAATAAAAATTAGATTAACAAAAAAAATTATGTCAAATCTGTATGTCCAACAATATACAAACTTAATGCACAGAATCAATAATGCACAGATTCAGCCTTTGAAGTTTCTGTGGCAAGCACTTTGTCTATTTATATCCCCCTCTGAACATATTCCTGGGAGTCAGACATGACGGCACCAATGTCTCATATGTTCATCAGAAAGTAAAAAATACAGTGTGAAGTCAATAAATAGAATTTCTTTGTACAATTGCTCACCGAGGAACCTAGGTCATTTCTTATGTCAGAAAACAAATGATATTCCTCCATCTATATTAAAGACACAAGAAGGGTCAGATAAAGCTATGATGATCTTATAACGAACATCAAACACAAAATCGGAGTTCCAGGTGGGCCGTGTCACACAGCTGGGGTGTTAAGCAGCTGATTAACAAGTGGTGATTAAATCACCTAGGGGCGGTAACTCCTTTTTTCGTAGCATATTGTACATTAAAATAAAAGCCGGTGAAACTCAGGCCAGATAACTGTAGGTGTCTTTCTGTCCCTCCACTCTCTCCAGATATTCCTTCTCAATCAGAATGTCTATGCATTTCTGTCAAAAAAAGACAAACTGATGTTAAATACTTAAAACATTGTATCCAGTCATCATAGTAATGAAAAGACACGACTGTAAAATCACAGCAAAGCACAAAGACCTGGCTCCAGGGTCCTTAAAACTTAGATGACCTCACTTTTGATCTCAGTCTCACTTTTAAGTAAAACATTCTTATTGTAAAAAGTGAGACCGATAGTGCCTCTCAGTTTTATGGCCTCGGAGCCTGGATTGTGTTTGAGTAAAAGAGCAAAGAGGTCTTAATCTTTATTATAGGTATTTCGAGTTTGAATTCAGTTGCATAATGGAGGGGGGTTAAATACCTTAAATTTAAGGAAGGGCTTACCTTAATTATAGGTACTCTGGGTTTGAATCGAGAAGAAAGCTGATTCAGGACCTCAGCTAACAGCTGTTGATGCTTCAACACTTTCCTCATCTTCATTATACGTACAATAGCAGCCTGTAACAGAGATAAAACACAATAAACAATGGCATCTGCCTAAACTGTATATGGGTGAATTAAAAAAAAATGACCACCAAACTGAAATTTTTTGGAAAAATTCAACTACTTATAACATATTTTTCACTTATATCATCATGTTGCACATGCATTCTAGTTTAAAATCCTGAAGTGGCAATAGAATAGTTAATTGGATTAAAAAGTTTCAGAATTTTTATTAGTAAAATTTCTTTTGAAAAAAGAAAATATCATTACACCTTAAAAGACTTTCTAAAATACATAATCACAAGAAATTATATTTTTTATGCTTCAAAATGGTAAAAGGGGTATAAATGATTAAATCTAGACCTTGATTGAGTATCTTCTCTTGTATATGTGACAAAAAATTGGCTTTTTGATTGTTATTTTACATTATTTTTTAATTCTGGTTTGAAAAAGTTTTAATATGAAAAAAATATGAAACAATAAAATTCCCAAAAATTCACTTTTTGGTCCGTTTAACTCTTTCCCCCTCACAAGCGCCTCTCGACGCCTAGCCAGGATTTCCGCACAAGCGTCTCTCGACGCCCATCCATGATTACCGCACTAGCGTCTCTCGACGCCTATACAGAATTTCCGCACAAGCGCCTTTCGACGTCTTGTTATTTTAAGACTATGTGAAAACGAGACTATGACGTCGGCAACTTTGGGGCAGGTATCAAATTGAAGCGTTATTATTGGCCTACAAAAATAAAGTATGTGCACTGTCATCAATTCACGTGTACCTATAAATAGAGATGGTTTTTACCTTGTATGGTAGGAAAAACAAAAGTTGTTTATTCAAAATGGCGGATTACGAACAATGTACGGTGAGATTATTTCTATTCACGCGACGATTTAGATAAACTTTATGGGCTTTAGGATGCTGAATCGAATACATATATTCATAAAGAATTCATTTGTGCAGAAAAAATTAATTTGGAACTTTATAATTGGCCAGAAAACCTTCGACATTTCATGGTGTGCAAGTTGAAAGTCACATGGCCAGTATTCCGGAGCCGATTTTTGTGTAAAAACAACTGCAACAAAAGATTTCTTGGGTGATATGTTTTCTCCAAACATTATTATAGACTATGTGCATCACAAAAATAAAAGTGCACGGAGAATAAATGCACAGAAGAGAAAGGAAGACCGTGTCTGGTACAAAATCACTGAAGCAGAAAAGAAGGCTTACTTGGCCAAAAAAAGAAATTAAAAAGATTATCCGTTTGTGTAAACTTCGCAGTGTGCATCTATGCAAAATGTGGATCTTTTCACATACCAAAATAGACATTGAAACCTTTTTATTGACTGTAAAATGATTAAATTCTAAATATTTTGTCATGAAAAATGTGTGTATATACGCTGACTCTTGACATTTACCAAACTTTTTCTTAGTTTAAAAATAAAGGATTGGCTTTAAATTATCATCATTGTGAAGATGAGATTGTGCTGAAAATAAAAATACTTGGTTTTATATACTTTTACCCAATAATTTGAGAGTAATAAGAATAAATATAAAGCACTGTGATTTTTTTCTTTATTTCTGAAAATGCCTGAGTAAATGGAGTTATCACTGATGCTAGACTGCTGTGGAGATAAGGCTGCAGCAGTGGCTTGCTACGGGAGTATACAGTAACGCCTTATCTTCAAAGCTCTGAGGGGGAAAGAGTTAAGTCAATTCTTTAAATCTAAGCCAAAAAAGAATTTTTATATACGAGTTCTCTTACAAAAAATACTAGATTTTGAAGTGACCCTATGTTACATTATTGTGTTGCACTCCTGACATCTGATATGTATTTTATTTAACATTGTTTTAAAAATTATAACACACAATTATCCATTCTTATTTTGTAAATCAATTTGTCGTTTTGATATTTTTCATCGTTTACAGCAGGTTTTTCATTTTTTGAGAACCTTAAAACATGATTATTTGCAAAGTATAAAATATATAAATTGTATTAAAAAATATATGTGAAATGAAAACTATTCCCTGAATTGACTGTAAAATTTCTGTAATTTGTTGATAGACATAGTATTTTGAACATCAAATAGTATCAAACATTTTTTTTCAACTTATTTTTTAGTAAAGATAGTTAAAAAGCATTGGTAATTATAAAGCAGTTTTGTTGCACTCCTGACTGCAGTAAAATTTAAAATGAAAACCACAGAACACAAAAATTCATAAAGTGTTGGCAACTTAAAGTGGTAATGAAATTGTGCAATACAGTGTATTTATAGCCCAATACTTCATAATTAAAACAGATGAAAGTATTTAAAATTCGCATTTTATCTGGAATTATTCCCTATTTATGTCAAAAAACTAGCTTAAATGTATATGTAGAAGATAAAATATATTTAAATAACATATATTCCTTTAGAGGACAAACACAGTTACCCACCAGAAAAATTCTACTCATCATTTTTTCTTTATTTTTATTCTTATTGGATGATTTATAATTCTAACATATTTGTTGCACTCCTGACCAAAAGCATTCGGGCCTTTAAAGTAGAATTGTGAAGTGAAAATTACATAAGAACTTGTTCTGTTGTTTCAGTGAAGTTGAGGAGGAATTACTTGAATTTTATGACAATTTTTTAGTGTGTTTATTTTTAACATTCATTAAAAAAATCACAAAAAAGATAAAACACATCTGAATTGATAAAATTGAAAAAGGAAGGATTTTAATAATAAAACTGTCAATAATTTAGTATTAAATTATACAAAAAGATCATTATTAATTAATGAATACTTCTAAGCATGAATAGAAGTGTTTTCGTCACACAACTTGAATCTTTAAAAAAATGTGTTGCACTCCTGACCATAGAAATATAGATCTGAAGCACAGACAGATCCTGTAATTGATAAATCTATTTGGTAAAAATGTTCTTTGTGTCTTTATTTTCCAAAATAAAAATCAGAAAATCATACAATACCGGTAATTCTAGTTTTTTCATGCTTGGGAGTAAAACATCAAATGTTGCACTCCTGACATTATTGGGTATGCACATATACTTGACTCTCATTAATGCTGCTTGTGATTTATATAACATTTTTAAGTTTTAAAATGTACATCAGTTATTGTTTTATAATTCAAAATTTCTTTCTTGTCTTAATTTTCTTTCAGAATTTTACAAATGATGTTTTTTGGCAACACTACATTTTTTCTGTTGCACTCCTGACATGGTATAACATTTTTTTAAACATCAGCCATGGCCACAACTTGATTAAACGAAAGTTACTACAGTCCACATTTAAAGCTCAATACTTTGAATATAATCAGGAAAGTCTTTATTTTCAACATAAAGCATTACTGTTTATTTCACAGATCTCCGAAAAATATTGAAATTTCAAAATGTCACAAAAAGGTGTTGCACTCCTGACAATTTTAGCATAATTTTTGGGCAGAACTTTTTTGTTAATTGAGATATCAACGAGATATTTGGCAGGTATTTAGACACTATCTAAAGACATATGCTGAGACATAGAAATCTATTTTCATTGCTTATATCTTTAGTGTGGGTTGATAAATATGCGTGTGGTCATTTTTTTTTAATTCACCCATATGTACTGGCCAAAAGGGCTGTTACGGTTCACAGTTTCAGGTCAAATCGGTTCTGTAAATTTTCGGATCAGTTTCTTGTTATTAGATTCGATTATTCACATCTATTTTAAACCTTAATTTCATGAATTAAACTTGAAAATTAATTCACCTTGAAAACAAGTCTTAGCCATGTTCATGTCTAGACATCTGTGTTTAGGACTACTAGCCTGACAATTAGCTAAACATGACCACTTTTGCTTGTTTTCATAATTATCTCATCCCTTTGTGACAAGTGTTTTGTCATGGATGAAGTAGATTTCAGTTGTGATGTTTATTCATCACCGTTATCGTCATCATTCTTTTGATTTCAATGCCATTTTTTTGATAAAACTGATTCTAACATATAAACCAGACCCAAACCAGAATCTTGAAAAATGGAACTGAAACCAAACCAAACAACTTGGACCCCGGTTTTCAGTTATTTTGGGAAACCGTGACGGCCCTACTGGCCATCTCAGCAAAAAATCACAGCAACTTCCTTAAAAATGAATTCAATGTGCTTCATCTTATATCATGTATATGTGTTTATATTAGAAAGAAATCTCAATTGTTTTTTAGGACTGTTCTGAACTGGGTTTTTTTGTGAGGACTGACCTGTATAAGAAGTTTTCTGTCTTCCTCTATATGTTTGTGTGTTGTCTCTTGTTCCATTTTCACTTCCGTTTTCAGAGGCACATTTATGTTCACACGTAATTTTTTGCTGCAAAAGTTCATAGTATAATTAATTACTGCTCAACAGTAAAATAGATTTATCACAATACCAAGCCACAAGCAATGAAAATCTGAAATAAGTAGAATATCATAGATGGAGGACTTTGAAAAACATGTACAATAGGTAATTTGGTGAAACATTTACCATTTCAAACCATGTGTGAACACATTCTTGGAGAGGACCACTATCCCATGACACAGACAAGATAATGAGCAGATCGATGCATGTCTATCTACTGTTAGACCTTTTAACTTCAGATGATAGATGCCATACAGCAAAAATACTTAAGACAAGTATATTGCCTGAGACATTTAACCCAAGGCACTAACAAGAAGTATCAATGGACAAAGATGTCTGTAAGAAGTCTTTATCCCAAAGCACAGAAAAGTGGGAGCAATGGACATGCTTCTGCATAGGACCTTTAGATTCCGGCACAATCAAGTGGGACCAATGACATCACATGTCTACTGCATGGGACCTTTAGATTAAGGCACAGTCAAGTGGGACCAATGACACCACATGTCTACTGCTAGATACCAATGGGCAAACATGTCTTCTGCTAAACATCAATGGATATACACATCTAGTTCTAGATATTAATGGACAGACATGTCTACTGCTAGACACCAATGGACAGACACATCTAGTGTAAGATAGCAATAGACAGACATGTCTATTGCTAGACACATTTATTGCTAGGCATCAAAGGACAGACACATTTAGAGCTAAATAGGACATACACATTAACTGGCTAAGTATCAATGGAAAACCATGTCTTCTGCTAGAGTCCAATGGACTGACATTCTAAGGCTAGAGACCAATGGAGAGATATGTCCTCTTTGATCAAGGCACAGACAAGAGGGATCAGTGAACAATCATGTCTGGTGTAAAAAACCATGGGCAGATGTGTCTACTGGTAGACATCTCTAGACCAAGCCACAGACAAGAGGTACCAATAAACAGACATGCCTACTCAGTGTTGTGGTTAACTTTTGAATCCTTAGGGGTCATGTGGGCTCCTAACTTTTCAAATTTTACGAGCCCACATTATATGTAAATTAAAATAACGACAAAAATCCTAAATTTTTCTTATTGATTTTTTTTATTTGTAGTATCAATATATTCGCAGTATATGAATTTTTGCCACGTTTTCTCTTTTCTAAAAACTTTGATCCGATAAAATAATCATTTCATCATGTACATTTTGAAGTGTTTAACCTTATACAAATGAAGCGTCTATGGCTTAACAAGGGGGCATATTCAATAATAAATGACTTACAACCTGTGATGAACTTTGATCCCAATCTTTTAATGCGTGCATTTGACACGGTAATTCAAATTCTATCTGTGAATAACTAGTCGATTGGAGTGTGTGACAACCATAGCCGATTGTTACAATATTTCTATTAGAATGATCTCAAACATTTGCTCTCATATCATCAGATTTAACGGAGATAAATCGCCATGTTTGATCTCAGTCACATATATGTTTCAAAAATATGCTTTTACGCAATACAAATAATCTAGATAAGTAGAGCGTTTTCTTTCAAAACTGAAAGTATATAAAATATAACACTGAAATGTGCTAATGTTCCGAAAAAAAAATAGTTTGCCATCTGTGCGACCAGATTTTTATTATCTAATTGCCCACAGCAAATTTTACTCGCATTTGCGAGTGGTTATCCACAACCCTGCTACTAGCAGACATCTCTAGACCAAGCCACAGACAAGAGGTACCAATAAACAGACATGTCTACTGGTAGACATCTAGACCAAACCACAGACAAGAGGTACCAATAAACAGACATGTCTACTGGTAGACATCTAGACCAAACCACAGACAAGAGGTACTAATAAACAGACATGTCTACTTGTAGAGATCTCAAGACCATGCCACAGACAACACAGAGAATACTTTAACTTTTTAAGATGACATGTTCTTAATGATAAACACTGAAATTTTTATAGATGATATCACAATCAATCACATATCTTACTTTAAAGGTGCTTGGACACAGATTTGAAGATAATATTTTCTCAAATTTTCTGTATAATTTCACGACTTATATATGGCTATAGCATTTCATACTAAAATATATAAAAAATTTCTTTCATCTCTAAGTTTTTAAAACTTCGAATTTCTGGACGCGTTGGATTGCCACATCCTTGCGCTTTCACATATTTTAATTTTATTCTTAATACAGTGTGGACTCGTTATTACAGTGACGGTTTTATAAGATAGAACGTTTATTACGTTGAAAATTCAAAGCACAAAACCATTTCTTAACAAATCTATACAAAACAGAACTGTTTATTACGATGTCCAAAAATGCCGGGACTCGGTATTACGATGTAAAAATTCTGTCCAAAATTTTTTTACTTCCCGTGTTTATTCAGTGTTGATCGACTGTAGACAATTAAGGAAACGCTAAATAAACATTGAAACACCTGTGCTCTGACACAGTGTTAACTTGCAGGGCCGTTAGGTGATTAGTGACTCTTGACTGCACACACCTTGACTGTTCTAGCGAGGTCAGCAGAATTGGAGACGTGTCAAAGCCATTGTTAAACAATTAAACTGTTTATTTATAAATGTAGTCTCTAGTTTATCTATCTCTGTAAAGTTTATTTTATTATTTTTTTTACTATGGTTAATAAGTAAAATTAATTTATTAAATAAAGCATTACATTTAATCGTATGCATGTATGTTAAATAAGTAATGTGTAATTTCGTTTGCAGTTAAGCGGGAATTGACAGCTTGGGTATCAAACATAATTTTGGCAAAATTTGAACTCCACTAACGTTTTAACAGCTTGGATAGTGGCTTGGACTACCTAACAGGTGTCAACAGAAATACAAATTGATAATTGCTTAACTGCTAATTGAACTCTGTTCAGTAATTTAAAAATTCAAATTTATTTTGACATTTAGCTTGTGTGTTCTCAAATTCCTGATAGGAATATGCCTATCACACTGCCCACTTTCATCAGTTGTTCACTGCAGCTCTAAGCTCATTGAACACCCAAAACCGCCCAGTGATGTATTGTTGTTATTTATGTAGTAATGATACGAAGACATTGAAAATTTTACGAATGCATTATCTAGACAGAAACGAAAGTAAAAGGAAATGGCAGCAGATAAATGAAGATTGCCGAAGTTTTTATAAAAATGTGCACATTTCTTTTAAAATGAAGGAAATAGAAGAAATAGCATCATGAAGATATCTATTCAAGATAAGTTATCAATAAATTATATGTATATAGCGTTTTAATGAAGAATTTGAATAGAAGAAGGAAACAAAAGGAGAAAAATACACCTCCTAATACAACAACAAGCTTTCAAAACGATGTTTTATGGATTTTATTGGGAACTTTTATTATGTTGCCCTCGGTATTACGATATTTTACCGTGACAAAATGAACATCGTTATAACGAGTCTGCACTGTACTTAAGAATAGTGGCAATTTTGTTGTGTATTAATGAAAAATATTAAAACTATAACCCAGAAAATTCAGAGTGGAAATGCTCGACAGCAAAACCCACTCACAGTATTGTAGGTCCGTGCTCAGTGGTGTGTGCAGAGTTTAACAATTGAACACACCCGGTGAATCGTAAACATTAACAATAACAGAGCTCGTGCCCCGTTTACAAAAACAGTTTATGTTTCACGGTTGTGTTTAATTTGTTAAAGTCTGTACACATCACAGAGCATGGACTGACAATACTGGATTATAGATGTAATATTTTTCATTAATGCATAACAAAATCGCTTCTTTTCTTAAATAGTAAGGATTAAGTTAAAATTTGTGTAAGTGCAAAGATGTATTAATCAAACACGTCCCGGAATTCATAGTTCCAATAATTTCCAGATAAAATAAGTTTTTAATTATATTTTCGTGTGAAATGCTATTGCAATATACAAGTCTTGATATTATACAGAAAATTTGAGAAAATAGTAAGTTCAAATCTGTGTCTAAGCACCTTTAACATTTTAACTTCATAATACTGACAATCAATCACATATCTTTTACTTTATAAAACTGATAATCATGTATCTTACTTTTTATATCCAAAGAATAATTCCAGAGAAGATGAAGGTCGGAGGTCATTCTCATCATCATCACAAACCAATAATTTAACTTTTAATAAAATCTGCAACACTTGAAGCAGTGTTTCCTGTAAAATAAAATGTTTTACATGTTCATTAAACACAGTAAAAATGAACTTAAATCAGAAAATTGCAATGCAGGGCTTAGGGATCACTTTGCCAGACAATATATCAGTCAGTCTGTAACTGTCTACATAAATATCTCTTAAGCTCTAAGCAGTAGGGATCTGACATTTTACAGATGGACTGCTTTACAAAAGGGCTTTTGAAAAATACCACACTTATTAACCTGGTCCCTAGACCATAAACAGAGAACAGACTTAAGTCAAAATTTTTATTTTGATTCTCAGTATCTGGAATTTTAGGATGAAAAAATTTGGATTGTTAAGTAGGTGGAATTTTTTTTCCCTAGAAAATTTCAATATCAATGCTGAATTTTCAAAATATATTTTCTGGAATACATAAAAAAAAAATTGCTTCCTGGAGGTAAAAATAAGTTTTGAGTCAGGCCATCTTTAGCCAATCGGTCGGGAGAGGGCAACCAAACATTTTTTTAAAAATGGGCGGAGACGTTAAATATTAAGTGTGTGCAATGTTTATCACCAAAGTTATTGAACTTACCTATCACCTTGGTTTTTAATTTTTTAAATTTTTTGGAGCTCTCCATGTATTTCCAAAGCAATACAATTACTTCACTGATGCGAGACCCTAGGAGATCAGCAAACATTTTTTTTTTACCTTAATCTTTGACCTTCCTTTCAATTCTATGGTAAAACCTAGTTTCATATAAACTACTAACTTCTTTTTAAATTTACTAAGTTATGATATTTACAGCTTCAAGTTGGCTGCTCTGTGGTTTAGATACTTATAGCTTTGTGCTGGGTGGTTAGGATATTTACAGCTTTGAGCTCTGTGGTTTAGATACTTATAGCTTTGAGCTGGGTGGTTAGGATATTTACAGCTTTGAGCTCTGTGGTTTAGATACTTATAGCTTTGAGCTGGGTGGTTAGGATACTTACAGCTATGAGCTGGGTGGTTAGGATACTTACAGCTTTGAGCTGGGTGCTTTCTTCCAGTTGCTGCATTGTCAGTTTGTTTACAGTATTATACTGTAGTAACACTGCCATCTGATATGTAGATGCCTGTAAAATAACGAAAAATATCAGTGTCTATTGATAATTACACATACACTGCAGTAAAATAATGACACTGTCAACTGAAGAATATGCCCATATTGAAGCAAGATTTGCTATTTCCGAAGAAGATACATGAAAGATCTCAATCAGGGAAAGATGGTTAAATAAGTCAAAAAAAAATTACAAACTCTGATAACTGTCAAAAACTGCTTATACATGGCCTTAAAACTTTCATGAACTTTGGTGGTAAAAATTATAAAATTAGAAGAGACTCTAGCAGAAATAGAACACCACTACAAACTGGTATTGTGTGGGACTACCATTAACTGTTATTAGTGAAAACTGAGTTCAATTCTAATGGTTCTTATGAAACACAAAACCTTTTCTAGTTTTACTTCAAAGTGAGAAGATAATAGTTGAAGAGTTCATAATTGAATCAAATATAAAATGTAGCTTAAACACAGACAGAACTATGAGAGGTCTCAATTAGTTACCTGCAGAGTCTTAAACACAGACAGAACTATGAGAGGTCTCAGTCATTTACCTGCAGAGTGTAGCGATTCTTGAAGCAGTGAGTGACCAGCTCGCCCTTGGAATGATGATACAACCAGTTCAGTTTTCGACCACTGTGTCTGTTGTTATAGAAACACGTAAACCTTTGGAAACTCCTCTCAAGCTGTAAAACAAACAGAGCTTACTTCACAAAGAAAAATAATAAAGCAGAGAAATAAGCTCATTGATTATTAATATTTGTCTTCTTCATTTTATATTACAGATTTTCCAGACGTTTGAAAAATATAAATCTAAACTGAAATGTGACAATAAACAGAAGTCATTAAATAGGAAAGGTTGTTCCTTTAACCTCCTTTGGAGAGTTAATTTAGGGGAGTTAAATGTAGGTTAATTTAGGGGAGTTAAATGTAGGTTAATTTAGGGGAGTTAAATGTAGGTTAATTTAGGGAGTGAAATGTATGTTAATTTAGGGGAGTTAAATGAAGGTTAATTTAGGGGAGTTAAGTGTAGGTTAATATAGGGGAGTTAAATGTAGGTTAATTTAGGGGAGTTAAATGTAGGTTAATTTAGGGGAGTTAATTGTAGGTTAATTTAGGGGAGTTAATGCTAAGTTATACCCACCTCTTGAGGGAGAACAAAAGTACAGTCACAGGATTGCTGGAAAGGCCAGGAGCCAGAACTTAGGACCTGTATGCTGAAGTCAACTGAAAGAAAAACATCATTTATTAGGTTAAGGCCAGGAACCGGAACTTAGGACCTGTATGCTGAAGTCAAGTGAAAAACATCAACATTTAGTAGGTTAAGGCCAGGAACCAGAACTTAGGACCTGTATGCTGAAGTCAACTGAAAGAAAAACATCAACATTTAGTAGGTTTAGGCCAGGAGCCAGAACTTAGGACCTGTATGCTGAAGTCAACTGAAAAACATCAATATTTAGTAGGTTAAGGCCAGGAACCAGAACTTAGGACCTGTATGCTGAAGTCAACTGAAAGAAAAACATCAACATTTAGTAAGTAAGGCTACTACCACTGGTAGTACCAGTAACATCAAAATCAATCTGACAATGTCCTGTCAAAAAGCTGAAAACAGAAAATGACAGTCTGCAGTTTAACATCCCTTACAGTGAGTACAATCTTTTGTTGTACATGCATTTTAAGAAAGACGATAGATAGCCATATAATTTTCATTCAACTAGATGTGTCGTAACGCCACGAATGCCCCCAGGCAGCCAAAATTTCAAATTGTAAATTGCACATTTGTAGCCGAGATAATGATTAGAAATTGTGCATTTTTAAATCTTTTCTAAGTTCAAGGGGGATAACTGTCAAAAATCATCGAACCACGACCAAATTCGAACTTGACCTGTATTTTCTGGTAAAATACCTGCATATGCACAGTCTTTCAACCTTATACATACATCCCTACAAAAGTAAGAGAGTGGAAACTGAAAATTTCTCATTTTTACTTAAGTTCAGAGGTATAACTCTGTCAAAAATCATCGGACCATGACCAAATTCAAACTTGACCTATATTTTCTGGTAAAATATCTGCAATTTAATCAGAAAATACAGATCAAGTTCAAATACAAATTTAAAACTAAATATGGCACTTGAAATCTTGGCTGCCTGCAGGGGCATTCGTGGCATAATGACACCTTTTTCTACAGTGCAGTTGAGTTTGCCAAAACTTCGCTAAACTCATATTCTTCATAAATCTTTAAGATCCAAATATTTTAAAAGAAACACTTGATTTAGACTTATTATGTAACTTTAACAACTCTGAAGATAAAATCTAGGGAAGATAACTCCTTCATAATTATAGAACATTTCTCAAATATACCATTTAAGTTATAAAATAATACATTACACATTGTAAAGTAGATTTTCTTCATGTCACTTTAGTGACCTCGGTAACAGAATACTACTTACTATCCAGAGGTTCTTCCGACGTTTTCTTTAAGTGATCTCGGAACTGATCGTTCAGTTCTTTACTGACGCTGACATCCTGGAACATTCTCTGGAGTTTAGATGTATACTCAAAGCCACAGGCTTGCTGTAAATACAAGACACACCATTAATATTACTCCAAATCAACTCTTGTATGAAAGAGTAATTCCTGCACTAAACCACTCATCAATTAATCTTTATAATTTTATTTTAAGCATGTCAAACTGATTGAAAATTATTTACAAAGTTTTCATCTCAAGTGAAGTGAATCACTGACCTTGAGTTTTGAGATCATACTGGCCTCGGCATCGTCACTAGCAGACATGTGCTGTACTAGACGTTTAGCCAACATCTTACTATAGAACTTTTGAAACACATCCTTATCCTCAATGTACTTGAACACAATCATCTGGAAAAAATCAACATAAAAGTCAGCGGTAATGCAAAAACAAATAAAGAAAAACGTCATCCATATAAGGAAAAAATTTACATCAATGCAGCAGTAGCATGAGATAAATTCTGAACAGGAAATCAACTTTATATTGTACATGTTGTAAAAAATACAGAGTTCTGACAGTAGGGTGTTGAATGAGGGGAAAACAGTGCTTTAGGAATGTTGGAATCGGATTTCACTTGGCTTTGTTATTTGGATATTTTCCTAAACCTATTTATGTATTAACATTGTACCCTCTATTCAGTTCTTGTATTACTGATCTAATTCCCACCTTTTACATCTGAGAACAATAAGAATGTACAGTTACTAATGTACAGTTACTAATGTACAGTTACTAATGTACAGTTACTAATGTACAGTTACTAATGTACAGTTACTAATGTACAGTTACTAATGTACAGTTACTAATGTACAGTTTCTAATGCATGTTTTCACGTATTTTATACAATGTTACACGTAGCAGACCTTTTCATTTCTTCTCATATTTACTCTGCATGCTTAAATTTTTCGGCATTTGGTTAAATTATTTTTTAAAAAAAATTGACTCAGTTCATTGTTTGTGTTTTTTGGAGATATTTTACTCCACATGCTTGTTTTCATCATTGATTTTTATCTTGTAAAATTTGAACACTGTGCATATTGTTTACTAGTGATTGGTTAGTTTTCATAATTGATCATCGGTTGGAATTGGTTACTGCTTCCGATGCAATTTTACCGATTATAATTGGATGTCATAGTTTTGTATATAAAAAGCAGACTATTACAAGTATTTCAAATTTTTTCTTTAACATGATATATAAAATATATAATATATTGTTTTCTTTGTTGTTTTGCTTCTTTTACACTTTCTATATATCCACATTTTGGTTCTGAATCACCTGTATCAGATGCAGATGCCATTTTCTTTCATTACAAATAAATATATTTTAAACTGAGAAAGGATAATTCCCGAATGCATTTTATAAGAAGTTATTGTTTCCAATGATCGATTATGAAAAATAATAATCAATTATCGGAATCGTTAGCATTTTTTGGTCGACAATCGATGTTTTCTGATTATCGGTACAACACTATTGTTAACTGCAATTGTTCTGAAAACTTTCTTCAACTTACACAAAAAAACATTAAGAAACATAAAAGTTAATAACTCCAGATTTATATGCACACCCTGTAACATTTTGTTTTTATAAATCATTCAATAAAACATTTCTTTGTCATTAATTGATCTCTTGTTATACATTCTCTGTATCATAATAAAAGGCCTAATATCCTCTTCAATTTATAAATTATTCAAGTAAAAATTCACAATTTTTTAGTATTTTAAGGTATATGTTGTATGTATGTGTGTGTTTGGGGGTGGGGTGAGAGTTGTTATTGTTGTTGTAATAACAATGATAACAGAGTCCCTGGGATACATGTAGGTACTGATCACTTGATTTCTTGATTTAGGGTGTACGTATGTGAGTGCATATGGGGGGGGGGGGGGGAGGGCTCAGATACATGTAGGTACTGACCACTTGATTTAAGGTGTCCTCCAATTCTGCTTCCTCTGGATTCTTAGAACTGTTCAAAATATCACAAATTATTGTCACCTTTCACAAATAATCATCAACTTCATACAAAAGGGTACATGCTACCAGTCTTTAACAAGAAAAGATAGAAAATTTACATCTACAAATTACGTAGATCACTTAGATTCCATTACTTACCTCTTTTTGAGTAACAAATCACAGTATCGGGCCAGTAGTTCAGGGGACTTGCTGGAGGAGTTGGCCATTTTAGTGACGGAATTACAATTAATAAATCTTCCACAGGCCTGTAAAAAAGTTATCAGATTTTACACACTGCACATTGCGAGGTGAATTAAAGAAACTTAAACTTCTCTGAAATTTTAAATTTAAATTGCATAAATTCAGTTTAAATTTTGTCCTGGAAAATTTCAATTCAACAAAAATTCTGCATGTATTGTGACTTCCAAGCGGATTATATTTAAAAAAAAATTATCAATAAATGATTTTCAGTGACTCTACTTACAAGTATTTTAACTAGGAAAAGACAAAGAGAGCCCTCCCTAAAGATTAGAACTGCTTGAGGCTGAAACTTTGTGCTAATCACACATTACTTTTTATGATTTATCCCAATAAATAAAATATATCCAACAACTTTAAATAGCTACATCTTCAAAGTGATTTTAGTCAATATTTATAATGCCCCACACATAGGTATTCTTAACGTACTTCTTTACTGATCTAACCTTGTCTAAGGCAGCAACAAATCCTGCATCATTGCTAAATGCCGTCATAACAAGGGCGTGGTATTTCTTGTGGACATCAAGAATTGTCTGTACATACATCTTAGGATCCTGATAAAAATACACAAATATATTCTCTTTTCAATTTGTGTTAAATGATATATTACTTTGTTTTCATGTACATGCACAAAATACAACTTTATAAAATCAGGAAAAGTTTTCTCTTTGTTATTTTTGTCTCATAAAATTAACGTACAGGAAACAATAAGTATAACCATACATAAATAAATGTAAGAAAAGCTGCTATTTGTACAGATATGTGTTTTTTAATTACGACTGACATTGGTCTCTGTATCATTAATTCAAGACAGCGACCAAAGGGTTGTCAACCATGATATTTCCCTGCCACACTTACATTGAGAGCGGAGTCCCCACACTTGTCTATGGCAACTATACACACTTATATTGAGAGCAGAGTCCCCACACTTGTCTATGGCGGCTATACACACTTACATTGAGAGCAGAGTCCCCACACTTGTCTATGGCGACTATACACACTTACATTGAAAGCGGAGTCTCCACATTTGTCTATGACGGCTATACACACATTAAGAGCGGAGTCCCCACACTTGTCTATGGCGGCTATACACACTTACATTGAGAGCGGAGTCTCCACACTTGTCTATGGCGGCTATACACACTTACATTGAGAGTGGAGTCCCCACACTTGTCTATGGCGGCTCTATACACTTACATTGAGAGCAGAGTCCCCACACTTGTCTATGGCTATATACACACTTACATTAAGAGTGGAGTCCCCACACTTGTCTATGGCTATACACACTTACATTGAGAGCGGAGTCCCCACACTTGTCTATAGCGGCTATACAGACTTACATTGAGAGCGGAGTCTCCACACTTGTCTATGGCGGCTATACCCTGGTTATAGATGTGCGTCTCCAGCAGACATTTCAGCTGTCCTAAGCCGTCCTGAATCCTGGAGACCAACTGATACATCCTTCCTAGGTCTACAAATAAAATAGATGTCTCTCAAAAAAGTAGGAACACATTGTTATTATCTGCACCAGTTTCTGGACAGAGTACAACTTGATATATTGCACTGCATTTAAAATTTTTTTGGAATGAAAATATTAGATCAGTTTAATATTTAGCATTAAATTCTCCAACATAAATAAGGTCTGCAGAAGTGAACCTCTGATAAACAGGCTAGGTCAACTTACAGACTGAAAAAGTCCAAATTGGTCAACTTACAGACTGAAAAGGTCCAAATAGTTACAGACTGAAAAGGTCCAAATAGGTCAACTTACAGACTGAAAAGGTCCAAATGTTTAATTCTATTCCTTACCTTCATTTTTGTCATCATCCAACAAATGTTGAAATTCGAAGTGGAATACCTCCAGGTGTTTCTCTATCATCACTTTCTCACACTTCTTGGCGAGGACATCTTGTGTGCTCTCGTGTAAGTACAGCTGTACTCGCTTCTGCTCTTCCATCAGTCGAGCTTCCTCCTAAAAACAAACATATTTATCCTGTAAAAACATCGTTCATCTTTTGAAATTTGTTATGTTTGTCTAGTGCTGCACCATAAAAAAAAAAGAAAAAAAACAAGATACAACTTTTAATTCAGAGAATCACTGATTCTTTGTACATTGCAATATTTTCCACTAATGACATGTGCTGCATATTTATGACATCTGTTAAAGTGATTTTTTTCCCATCTGTTTCTAAAATGGGTCAGGCAATTTTTTTTTCCATCACAGACACTGTCTAGTGCTGACAATTTCAAAGGGAGACAACTGTACCTTTTTCATGTACTCTGTGACAGGATTCTGTCTTAAGAACTCAGTGCTCTCCCTTGTATAGTACCGCTCTGTGTCCTCCAGGAATGGGGTCTCAAAGTGTTCCTTGTAGACCCCCAGGGTGGGGCCCTTACTGGTGGGGTCATCCTCATTCAGCCCCAATTCCACTAAAACAAAAATCATCCAACCGTTAGCATGCATTCAGTCCTCAATTCCACTACCACAAAAATCACTCCACTGTTAACATACATTATAACACTGGTATTAGGATTAGTAGGAAAACAACAACATACTTGACTCATTTATTACATCACGTTTACTGTAAATACTGAATATAATGCAAAATGTATCTAGTACTTTTTAATCTGCTTTCTGAAGGATCTGCTACAGAAAAATGACTGACAATTGCATTAACTTCTTATTACATACTACTTTTAAATTCATACATGCTATTTAAATGTTAACTTAGCGAACTGTTTCAAATTATTGTTACAATCTGATGCTTCCAATAACTGGTAGAAATTCTCAATATCACCATCTTAGACTCACCATAGCAGTTTATGGCACCAATAACGCATAATATATCACCATCTTAGACTCACCATAGCAGTTTATGGCACCAATAACGCATAATATATCACACTCTTAGACTCATCATAGCAGTTTATGGTACCAATAACACTCTTAAGACTCACCATAGCAGTTAATGACACCACTGACTAGTCTGGTGTTGATTGTCTCCCCATTTCTCTCTTTTTCTATCAGCTTCAGGACTGCATTTGTCACTTGCTTGTTCAATGGCCGGAATAAATGTTCTCTCCATGTAATCAATGCCAACTATAAAATCAGTAAAATTTTACAATCAGTGAAATATCACCTTTCAACAAAACAGTGAACTTAAACTGTCAGTGAAATTATCACTACTCAACAAATCATAAAATTGTCATATCCTCTTGGACGGCTTCAGTAAATTTTCAGTACCACCAGGGATTTATCAGTACCTTCTCAGGGGCCGAAATTCGACCCCATTCCCAATTGAAAATGAGCTCATTTTTTCCCAATTTGGTTGCATTTTTTCCCAATTGGTGAACAATGCTTTTATATTCAATTTTCTTGGAAAAACACAGAGTAAAATTGTCAGATTGTCTGTAATTTTCATCTATTTAACTCATTTAGCAAAGCTACAGTCATAACATGTTTAACAACACTGTAAAAACATCGCCAATTTTTAATCCGAATTTCCTCCGTTTTTCTGAAAATGGTGATATTGTGTAATTGTATAGATTTGTATAGATTTTTAAGTTATTTCCACCTACTCAAATGATCTACGAATGAATGGTAAGGACTGTAGGCATTATTTCAGATAGAAAAATATATTTTCAATGTTTTAATACATATTAAAAGAGGATTTTGAGAAAATGTGTACTTTAGTATAATTTTTTCCAGGAGGTTTATTTTTTCCAGAAACAGATTCTATAATGACCTAAATTGAAATCTCATACACACATGTACTACCCTAAGTTGTATAAATACTTTATACTCATTGAAGTAAATTTTACTTTTATTAGTCAATTATTCATAATTGATCATGTATGATGAAGTTGGAACATATTTAATTGTCTGTTTGGTTGTCCAAATCAGAGTTCATGCTGAAATGTTAAATGATTTACACTTGAATACATGATTTAAGCAACATTTTTAATTTTTCCCAATTTCATCAAATAGCTGATAATTTTTCCCAATTCCCCAAAAATGGCATTTCCCAAAACAGGCTGATAAATCCCTGACCGCGTTATACTTTATCTATAGAAACCCATTTTTATAAGTTTGAACACAAAACAAAAATATAATATCACTGAAACATGATCAAATTGGACTCAAGTACCACATCCAAGAAATCAGCAGATAATAGTAACTGAATGCTTTCCAATAAAGATTCATCATAAATGTATATCACAGAGACAAAATTCTTACAGAATAATAAAGATTTCATCACTGATATTTATATATCACAGGGACAAAATTCTTACCGAATAAATTTCATAGATGCCCTTTGTTCCCTCGTCACACTCCCGTCTGACCCAGTGTCGATTAAGATACGCACAGACACCATTCAGAACACGACTAGAGAACTGGTAGTCCTCCCACTGCTTCGTGTAGAACGACAAAACCTGCTCGTCCAGTAGATCCTGCCCATCCTGTAACACAGATATCTAAATCACCATCGCATACACTTAGCTGCTCCAATTACTGAAACATCTGGGATTCATTATCGTAATGTTTGAACTTAAATACTGTGTGTACCTAATGTTATTTTATTTAGGTCTCTGAACTTACTGTGAGAAGATTGACTAAATATTGCTTCAGGAACTCTTTCAGTCGTTTGTATAGCTCTAATCCTACAAATTGAGCACCACCTGTTGGCTGGTTTGGGCCGCGGCGATTGGTCGGCACACGTGATTGCCTCTGTCCACTGGGACTTGATTGGTGGACACTTGTACAGTAATTATATACATGACTTATTTGGTCAAGGTGAAATCAATTTAGGGAAAGCTTACTTGCCTTTTCAAAATATGTTCTACCTTTAAATCAAGAAATGATACAAACAATACACAAGAATAGTTTAAATACACAAGAATAGTTTAAATTACATTTTAAAATGCAAAATTTGAAAATTTGAACATGTGTCGGCATTGAAAATAAAATAATGTTATGAAATTTGAAAAAAGAGCAAAATCAATCAAATATTCAGTGCATAATTCCATATTATAAGATTTTTGTTCTTTGACAATGCATATTTTTTCATTTCTTAGTTGAGAAAACAGAAACCATTTATATAACAAGGATACGTATACAGTTCCATATATCTGACTTTAGGCATGCTTTGTCGACTGTACACATTTTTTATTCCTTCTTTTAAATCATCCCAGATCTGATCAAGGCCAATCTGTTTCAGCCCATGGGGGTTCGCACCTCGACCACCTCCAGACATTATGGATACACTTCTGATTGAAATGCTCTATAATATGTTCTCCCTAGTCAATGCAGATATTTCAAGTTAGCTTTTCCATTTCTTCATTGAGTGGTGGTGAACTCAACTGAAATAAAAAGATTAACCATTTTATATTCTGTTTAAGATTTTCTTCTTCATTTTTTATCTCATTCAGAGAACATGGAGAATGACTAGTCAAAAATTTCCAACTTCTTTGTTCGGTAAAAAAATGAAGTAATGAAACCCCCTCTTACTATATTTATTTGTAATGGGCTCCAAAGAGATTGCAGTTTTATAGCAACATCTCCATATAAGGTATATTTCAAACGACAGAAGGTCTTTGATCATGTCAAAAAATAACACATCATGGATGGTATTTCACCGTGACCAAGATGGCGACGATCACAAAAGATTTCTCAATAATAAATTGTGTCATATTCTAAAAGAACTCACCGAGATGGATATCGTTCAACACAAGTATCACAAATCATAAATAAGACTTACCGAACAAATAATAAGAAAAGATTTTGTCCCACATTTCTCAATACCAAATTGTTCTATAGACTGACATAATAATCAAGATTTATTTCATCTTTAGTGCAAAGCCTTGCCACAAGAGGACGCTTTTTATTATATTCATAATTCGTACCATAGATATTTCGGGCCATATCTAAGCCTGCCTTTTCAGAGAAAAAAGAGAAGTCCATCTCTAGGAGTATATATATTCCTAAATTAAAATATAGAGTAAGAATGGCTTTATAGGAAAACTCCGTGATAAATATGTGTATTGTATAAAAAGCACGTGCTACATTTTTCTTTAAAATTCTTTATTGCCCTTCAGTTGTTCAGCTCTTCGGGATATCAAGATTAAATTCATAAATAGTGTCACACATGCATTTTTAGAAATTTAGGGGTGAACGGACAGAAAAATGATGGTCATGATATATACGTTTTTTTTAAGAATAATAATTATAAAATTAACCCCTGTACAGGCTGTCATAATAACAACTACAATGAAAATTAATTTTATATACAGCTTTTACTAAAATTGTACCGGCCCAAGTTATAAAGTTCTTTTGTATTCACCACACTAAACAGATCAAGTACGTAATTCAAAGACACTAGCCCAGTAGGTTTTATTCTCAAAATAATAAAAAAAAAAAATAGATAAATAAAATAAAATAAAATGGTCGACGTTTTAAAATAAATTGAAACTTTTCAATATTCAAACAGTGTGAAGAGGTTCTGAATTTTGCTGTATATTTTCTACCATTTTTTTTTTTAAAATAGGCTTGTAAATAAGAATCATTTATTAAATACTGATAAAGAACATTCTTTGCTGAACTTGATAGATATGGAAGAAATTTGTGCTCTATTCTTTAAATATACGCTCGTACATGCGTACATGTATTACAAACCTATCTTTGACAGGTCATTCTTTATATTTAGAGCCCACCTGTCATTATTAACAATCACGTTTTCATAACCTTCTTTCAAACTACAGGACAAGTACAGGTATTCAGGTTTAATTTTTTAATCATATATTTTTTTCTTTTACAAATTTATTAACATTATTTAGAATCCTCTATATCCGTAACAACCAATTTCCAATGATATAACAATTAATTCTTCTTTGTGTTTTTATTCCCGTCTACAGAATCTTGGCACATTCTACAAGTAAGATGATTGACTTCTGAAGAGCCATCATACAAGGGAAAATATCGTTAACATCAATAAGTACGAAAGTCAGAGACATAAATACAAGTGTGACATCATTATCGCCACACGGAATAGCACTGGCGGATTTAGAGGGGGCCAGAGGGCCCGTTCCCCATTCTGTGTGCAAAATATATATAAAATTTAATAAATCATTTTTTTTGTGTTGCCGTTGGCCCCTACCCCGACCTCAAACTGGTCGGGCCCCCTTTTCAAGATTCCTGGATCCGTCACTGCATGAATAGTACGAATTTCCAAGATTGTCTCCCTTTCTACACAATCAAGGATATCATAGTCCAATCCTTGGATGTAACAAGATTCAGATGGTAGCTAGGACAAACACGAAGCATACATATAAATTGAATATAAAAAGTTTTATCTTTTATCCACTGATAATCAATAAATGTACTTGGTTGAAAGTTGACAAAATTCTTAAAACATTTCGTAAATAGGGATGGCTACCTATTTTACAAATTAGAAAGCATGTAGATTTCAAAGGAACTACTGTTACACATTAGATAACAATATTTTAATAAGGCTATATATGAGGAGTGTTTGAACAGGAAAAGTTTAATTTCAAACTACACGTTTGAAAAGAAGAAAACGGTTTTGACTAACTAATTATAGGGATTTCGACAACCTCGATCGTTTAAAGTCATCATTCTGCAGATTATGAGGTCGTTATATATTGACCATATAAGGAATACTGTCTGACATGTTTCATACAATTTTTTGGGTTATTGTTTTTATACTAAAGGATCACCTCATTTTAAATGAATCAGAGACCTATAGGGCCGGAGGCTTTACAAAAATCTGATAGATTTCCTTTCCTGCCAATGACTTTAGGCTTGTAGTAATATCGCTTTTCATAGTTAGACAATTTCATTTCTAAGTCAGTGCATGTAGTATGTAGAGATAGAAGGCACCTTTTCATAGACTTTAACTATGTAATTTTTTTTTTTTTTTTTTTTTTGTTAACGCATTTTGAGTTGAATTGTTATGATCTCGAAAAGCATTTTTGATATTTTTCTTTACTTTTCATTGTAATGTCTATAATACATGTAGTCCTCTTCTTGATGCGTGTGTATACATATTATACATTTCCGCGGAAATGATGAAAATGTATGCATTTCATACAAATGAAATCCCAGAAAGTGTAGTTTAAGTCCAAGCTTTTTGACATCTGATCCGTCAGAATTCCTTTGTAATCAAGCTCAAAAGTCCATTGAAACAATACGAATTTGAAACAGAGCAAACAAGGAACTCTAAAAACATCAGGTGCTATGGAGGAGTAAGCAACCGATGTCGACCGGTCACACCCGCCTTGTGCTCCATGTCACGATCGTGCAAACGGAAAACTCCGTAGACAATTCAGTGAAAAAAAATGACCTAGAAATTTGTATAAAAATGTCAGTCTACATTCGACTTAATGATAGATTGTATTTGCTGACAAGATCATTATATCGATCATAGAATTTGCGAGTTGTTATCTTTAAAATTCTTATTGTTATCATTCTTGTTTCATCAACTTATTTGTCATTAGCCTGCTTTGTTTAGAAATTGTTAGTACTGTACGTAGATCGTGCTCTTGCGTATCGAATCAAATGAGAGACTTGAACCTAATATACAGGTGATAATGGTTTATTGCTACATAAATAAGGGAAGCTGACTATAGAAAAGTTGAAGTCATCACGTTTAACATAAAGTTTTGCTGTTATTGGTTACTATTCAGTCTTTTCCTAGTAAAATATCAAATTTGAAACAGATGTGTCAGACTCTGTGGTATCTTTTATTTCGAGTTCAAAGGGAAATATTGAATCAGTATAGGAATGAAAATGAATATTGTTAATTGATAAGACGTCGTCGATATATCTTAATGTTGCATTAAAGTTATTGAATAAATTGTGCTTCATATGAATACAAAAATAGATCTGCTTATAACGGGACAAAGTTAGTACCAATGATAATTCCGGCAGATTGTTGGAATACACTACATAGATATATTGTCATTCAGAAACTCAAGCATCTTTTTAATATCAACTTCAGAGTACTTGTGTGTAAAATCTGAATGATTTTTAACAAGATTATTTTGCACATGACCAGTGACAAGGTAAGTATATATTACGAGTTCCATTTCTATTGGAAAAAAGCTAACTATGATGTCAAAAAGCCTGTACTTTAATTTATCGTGGAGAATGATTGTATGAGGTGTTGAAAAGTCATACGTTTTGATGTTATTGATTTTGGTAAAAGTTCCTTGGAGTTTTTAATTATCCACATCTGATTTGCATCACTTATCAAATATGTTGTTTTATTACATTTTCAACAGTGAAATACTGTGATTTATTTATTGAATAAAAGTGATATTCTCTCACAGGGTGAAAGGATATCAAAGTCAGTAAAAAATAATTTCTGGCCTGTCATAAGATAGAGATAGTAACTAACCATCTTGATAGAGGTAAAACTGCAAATTTCTTCCCAAATATGTTGCTAAAATCTATGCTATGTAATGTTTTCAATTTCACTGCTAAGCTATGACATCTCAACCGCTCAACTATGACGTCAAGCCTATGACACTGTGTTAAGAAAAGACAAAGGGAAAAACCAAAGAAAATGTAATAAACAGAAAATTCAATGTTTTGTAGATGAATATGGAATTTATTTCACTCTTGAGACAGGATTCTTTTTATATTTTTACTCGTGCTTCGCACTCGTGAAAATATAAAAAAAAATCCTGTCCCACTCGTGAAATAAATTCCATATTCATCTACAAAACATTGAATATCCTCTATGTACAGTACTCCTGTAGATTCTCCTTCACTGCCGTTAATATTTTAGTGAGGAGTAAAGAAAGAGGCTTGGTAGAATATTTTTATTAGAACCCGGTTCATGTTCTTTGCAATGGTTCTTTTTAATGTAGTTTAGGAATCCAGTATAGGTATGAAAATTCAGATTCAATTTGATTGTTGGGAATATTAAAAAAATGTTTCAAACTGACATATGATTTTGAAGAATTTCTTTCTTAGAAAGGGATCTATGAGTATAAGTTAGATTACTACTTGCAAAATTAAATCCAAGTTCCTCTAAACTACAATTAATAAAAGAATGAGTCTTACAATCTTACAAGACAATGTTTTTACCAGTACATGTTGATCGTGTAATCTATCTGATACTGACTTTTTACTTTTGAATTATTGAAGACAGAAGAATAGATGGTTTTCATTTTGCCCCTTAGCCGCTTGATGCGAGATTTAAACATCCCTCTGATACTTTCAATCCATTCTGACAATGTATCAAGGTCTTTTTTTATGTTTGGCCCATCGTCTGGCGTAATCTTTCACAGAATTCATGATATTTATGAAATTATGACGCCAGTCGAAAGATCGGGGTTCCCTAAATTTTGGACCTTTTAAAATTAGTGATTTACGTCATTAGTAATGACACGTCCACCAGGACTTTATTTGTAGAGTGAAGAAGAACATGAACAGGTAGGAGGATTATGTTTCAGATGTTCGATATTTAGGCACTGTAGATTTATAAATTATTCTCTCCTATAGATCAATTTTTTGATATGCCGAATACATCCTTTGACTACGCATTACTCTGTCTACCTGATCAATGAAATATGGAGAAAACGAACAGTTTTCAAGCTCATTGTCCATGAAATATGAAGATAACGAACAGTATTCAATCTCGAAAGTCCAATGAAACGATACAAATTTGGAGCACCGCAAACACGGACCTCAAAATTTAGATGGGATCAGCTGCCATGGAGGAGTGAGCATCCCCTGCCGATCGGTCCCACCCGCCGTGTGCTCCCTGTCATGATGGGGAAAACCGGAATAATCCATAGACAGTTCAGTGCATAAATAATGG